GGTACCTGTGGACGACGCCATCACAGAGGGTGTTTAGTGGGACGAGACAAATGCTATCACTGCCGGAGGCCAGGACACCGAGAATTCGAGTGCCCGAAGTGAGCAGCACCGTCGAACTAGTAGAAAATAGGAGCCATGAGATGGTCGTATTTTGTTTAGTTTTATTAACATTATGATGTGAACTTGTTTTAGAAACTCTTTTGTTGGAGGGATCCTTACACCTTTTGAGACTACGTTGAAGTTTGATATTTAGACTGCGAATGTTTGATGTTTTTCTACATATCTCTAATTAATTCTCGTTGCAAATTGCCAGCGTACCAAGATAATAATAGATTGAGAAGGGTTCGCGGTCAAGAGTGGACAGACGGACGATCGGGAAGAGACCTGAGTATTCTAGCCAAGATTGAACTTCAGTTTCAAGTTAAGACTCTAGATGTTGTCTCGAACTAATTGCAGTTGATTATATGTAATACTGGTTTTCCAGTGTATAATAGTCACTATTACGGATGACCACGGCAGCTTGAAATAAGAGTCACTAAGTCGGGAATACCATAGATGCTTGAAACTAGGCATGGACGGACATAGTTCTCCATACGAGATCGCTTATGCTCGCCATAAGGAACCGACTCCGAGTCGCGGGTACACCGCACGCAGGTGCTGCTTGCTGGTATGCCACGCAAGAGGGTCTCGGGTAGTTGGTGTGCCGTATTGCTACATGTCGTGTGCAAAGTATCGCGTAGTCGTGAGCCGAAGTACGATTGGGAACCGAGAAATAGTTTTCCCTAAGAGTGAGCAATGACCTGCAAGTAGGGCCTACTAGTTACATATCATCTGGTAGAGATCTCCGCTAGGGGTGAGCGTGGGTCGGTACGGTTCGGAGATTGATGAATCTCCTGAACCGTACCAAAGTTCGGAGATCCCAAAATTCAATCTCCGGAACCGTACCAAAAATTTGGTTCGGTTCGATTCGGAGATTTTTATTTTTCGGTCCGGTTCGGTTCGGTTCCGTACTCAGGACTAGGGACAGTACGGTTCGGATCTTCGGAGATTTCTTTTTTTTTTTATTTTTTTAATACTACCTAGTTATATTTTAATTTTTATATGCTTTCAAAAAAAAACATTCATCAATAATTCATCATATTGAAGATTTTATTTTTAAATCAATTTTAGAAGTAACTCTAATTTTTTGTAATTTAATTTTTATATGTTTTAATAAAACCAACATTCATCAATACTTACTCATATTAAAAATTTTATTTTGAAATCAACTTTAGAAAAACTCTAAATTTTAGTTAAGACTAAATTTATGCAACTAATATTAAAATTTAAAATTCAAACAAAGTATAATATTTTTTTTCTAAACAAATATTCTTTAACCTTTAATATTATTTTAAATAATTTTTTTATAATAGAAAAAATTCAATTGTAGATCAAGTATTACTAAACATGAATTATATTATATAGGATCAAAGGTGACATAAATTATATTAATAACACATCTAATGTTAAAATTTGGTTCTTAATTTCAGTTCTTCAGTTCGGTACTGTATGGGATGGTTCGGTTTGGTTCTCGGTACGAATATTCGTGAAATCTCCAAAATCTTACCAATTATTTTTTCGGTTCGGTTCACTTCGGAGAAAGCGAAACTATCAACAATTATTTTTTGGTTCGGAGTGATTTCGGTTCTGTTTTCGGAACGGTTCGGAATTCTCCGAGTCCCATGCTCAGCCCTAATCTCCGCCTAACCAGTCCTACCCTTGTTAGCCTGGCGTGTGTGCAATAGACCTTATCTAATCGGGCAAGCCGAGCAGCCTGATAAGGTAAACGTGTTCATCAAATCGGGTAAGCCCATTCAGCCTAACGAAGCATGCAGCAGACCTTGTCTAATCGGGCAAGCCCGACCAGCCTGACAAGGTAAACGTGCTTGTCTAATCGGGTAAGCCCAATTAGCCTGACGAAGCGTACATCAGACCTTGTCTAATCCGACAGCCCGATCAGCCTGACAAGGTCAACGTGCTCATCTTATCTGGTAAGCCTGATAAGCCTAACGAAGCGTACAACAGACCTTGTCTAATCGGGCAAGCCCAATAAGTCTGACAAGGTAAACGTGCTCGTCTAATCGAGTAAGCCCGATCAGCCTAACGAAGCATACATTAGACCTTGCCTAATCAGACAGGCCGATCAGCCTGATAAGGTAAACGTGTTCGTCTAATTGGGTAAACCCGATCAGCCAGACGAAGCATACAATAGACCTTATCTAATCGAGCAAGCCCGATCAGCCTGACAAGGTAAACGTCGTTTAATCGGATAAGTCTGATCAACCTGACGAAGCGTGCATCGGACCCGATCTAATTGGGCAAGCTCGATCAGCCCGATACGGTTAACACCTTTGTCTAATCGTACAGAACCCAATCCGCCTGACGAGTGTACGGTAAATCTTGTCTAATTAGTTGAAATCCGATCAGCTTGACAAGGTGGATCGCCATAGTAAAAAATTATAGCTCAGTTCTCCTAAGACCAGAAGTGTCGCCATACAAGGGCGATGCTGCTAAGAGGAAAAGATCGGCATCCTCCAACGTCCCCAAGTCATAATTTATAAAGTTCTGCTTCGGACTTTCTAGAGGCACATAGCAAATCTTGGCGAGCCGCCGTGAAAAATTAGTACTAGTGAGACCGACCGATGTCGAGATAGCCCTATCATAGTATCCAGATAGAGATTCTCTGTTCTGGAACTTGGCCTAACGGTGTATAACAACCATAAGGCCGGGTAAATTATGGAGGCTTGAAATAAGAGTCACTAGTCTAAATTTTCCTGGGGGCATGAAGCCGAAATTGCCGTGGCATAGCCAAGATCACTATTAAGAGGAAGACCGAATTTAGAGCTAAGAATCCTAGTTTTGGGTTTTGACTTGCACATTAGTTTAGTATTTCCGAGGACGGAAATGTTTTAAGGTTGATATATTGTAACGCCCAAAATATTATTGACTATTTATGGAGCTCGACTTTATTTTCATTTTTAGCCAGTTTCATAATTTGATGCGTTTAATTATTATTATTTGCATTAAATCGAGTATATTAGTTTAAAGTCTAAGCCATGAAAAATTTGTTTGATTTTTAATTTTAAAGTCGAATTTATCTAGCCAAGTATCGATGTTATTTTCAAGATAAAATCGAGCCTTAGAATAATTGAAATTTTATTAAAGTGGACCGAAGCCTATTGCTTAATCTATTTGAGCCTAATCATTTACGAGCGAGTCCAATTATTTTAGTCGGCCCGTTTAATTTAATAGAGCCTATGTTCGATTTTATTTCGGCCCATTTCATTTAATCATAGCTGAACATTTTATCAGTAGATTCAGTTAGCATTTTAATTTTCGAGTCTAGTAGTATTTTAAATATTTCGAGCCTAAGTCGATTAAATCCAAAGCCCAATTTTAAAGGCTCAATAAGTATACCAAACACTAAGTTCCCCTTCTCATATATACATACATACATACATATATATATATATACATATATATATACAATTTCAGAGGTTCAGGGATTGGACTTTTTGTATATATATATCACACCATT